ATATTGTTGCTGTATCGCCTCGACATCCAAGCCAACACAGCTTTAGCTGTGCTCAGCGACATTTATTCTCGGGTCAGGCATTTTCATCGCCTGGCAACCATCATGGTGAAACAAAGACCAATAAATTCTCAGAAAACGGTATTTTGGAATGGTTGTTGTCACCCCCTACATATGCAAACTATTTAAATTTGGTTGGATTTCTTCAAAGTTAAGTTTGTGCTGTTTTTTCGATTTTTTTGACCAGTGCACAGCAGCTCGCGCAGAGTCCATAGAAATACATGATATTGTGGTGCGCGTCTTAAATAGCAACGTGGAGCGTTTAGTGACTTAGCTCCGCCTCGAAGATTTTGATAGCTTGGCCAAGCGCGTTGAAGAAAGAAGTTATGTGATTGGCTGTTGTTAAACTGTGAGGGCATTGTCACATACACATAGTCCTAATGAAATACTTCAAGGTGATATAGAGTGGAGTGCTTCGCCGGAACATTCACCTTGAAAATTCAAGATGCTTTAAATAGTCAGATTGAAGTTGTTATGCCACGTGTTGGGATTGATCACCAAGATGGTGGATAGGACGTGATCGTATCATGGTTGTGCAATTTCAGCATGATTATAATAAAATATTCCCAGTTTGGCAGATGTTGTATTCATGCACATTTTTAGGTCAAAAATAAACAAGCTTTTGAGATTGTCACAGCCTCCTCAGTTCTTGTAATGTCAGCATTTATATGTTTTTTTCTGATCAAGTACACGTGCAAGTTCTATACTGAACTAATGCATTGGCTTGCTACATGTGCAAGTCTCTAATATCTATTAGCAAGGTGTAAAACATATATTGCAGTTCCAAATTATAGTCCAAATATTTATGTCACATTGCATGCAAATTGCAGAAGCAGGCACGTTTTATGATTGGCTGAGTTGTTTGATTTGTTCATAACTATCCCACAATGCACTATGATTTGGAATTGCAGTATTGGTTAGGAAAGAGTACCTGATTGGAACCACTAACGATTTCATCTGTCCTGTCCTGACCGAGCCTGCCTCAACATCTGTATCTTATGACCTAGTATCATAATCCATCTGACCATTTTCCTGTGACAAAAACAAACCGCCAATGGAGAACTTACTGGAGTTGAATGCCCTACCATGGTCTATTCTGCTGCAACTTATGATGGCACTTGCGTCCAAGATACTTGAACGATTAGGATAAGTTCATCATCAGCTTTCTGGGGACACCTGCACTACAGGTCAGTGTGACACCACCAGCTTCATGCATTGTCAATACACCAACCATCTTGTGAACCTAAAGTTCCAATGAGATATTTCACCTTACTTTGAAGACATCACCGGTTGCACCACCGTCCTCTCGCATGGATTATGAAACTTCTATCTACATTGTGGGTTTGAACCAATATCAGTGGATGGCAACATGCCTGTAGCATTTTATCTCAGGGCAAATCTGTATCAGTGGAGGGATAGACTTGGTTACACTTTTAGTAGTAGAGCAGCTCACCACCACCACTCCTGACAACGATGCCCTCACAAGGGATGCTGCCAAAAGACCTGGTAAAGACAAAGACAATACAAGCAGAAGTATCGTCCCTACTAGCCAAGTACTAGTATTACCCTGCTCAGTAACCAGTTATGGTTTCTATCTGCTACTTCGAAAGGATACAGGCGAGCTGAGCTTTTTTCTATCCCTCTATGCCCCAGCTGGTATACTTTTTGTATGATGTGGCTATTATGGGTTGGAAGGTCCCATCCCTGGTGGGAAACAGTTTGTGTAAGAGGTATATCACAGAGGAAGATGCTTCTCAAATGATTGTCTTGCCAGCACACTATATAGCGCCACAGAGGTTGGCTACAACGAGTTGGTCCTTGTCATTAGGGTTGGAATGTATTCAACATGTGATCAACGAGCCGCAATATGCATTACTTGCAAGAAAGACATCACTTTGGTGGCCTTAGCTTCAGATAAGAGATGCAGCTAGTTACAATCATTCCTGAGCTGATAGTTTAGAGGTCTGTCAGACTGACTCAGTCACCTTATGGACTAATCACCTTTTTTCAGATCCAAGAACCACAAAGACCTGACTAACCGGATTCCCCCCATATTCATCCCATGGCTGAATCCGACTTCCGTTACACCTACCAGTATATACCCCTCTCCACCATAGAGGGAGACAGCTTTTGGTTACAGTAATAAAATACTATAATAATAGCTCATTAAGGAATTTCTCTGGCAATTAAACCCTTATTAGTATGTTGTGTAAAATGACACCAAACATACAACATTAACAAAGTCATATGGCACCAACCTTTCAATTTACAATCTCCAAGTATTAGAGACACAATTATATATTGTGGCAATGGTAGTGTGCTTGCCAAACATATTAAAGCAGGGAAATCGTCACCTACGCATACGTCAGATGGCCATAGCGTGTCATTGTTTACAAAGAAGCGTCTACCCATGAGCCTTTGAGTTTTTAGCATGTGTTGTTATCATCGCTTGGGAATCAATTCCCGAGTGTGCGCAGGTGACGACCCTCTCGCTTTAAGTATGAATACAATTTAAATTCAGATAAATATTTGCTTTGTAAGGAAGAACACACAACTTCAATTCAGTAAACTCTTTTCCCATCAACACAAGATTCCCCATCACTACTGGTGACCAATCTGTCCACATTAGATGGTTTTCATATATAAGAACAACCACATTTTGATATACATCGTATATTGCACTAACGTCACATAAACTGTACAAAGAAAGCAATATAATTTTGCAAATGGCCATATAACAGTATTCTTTCTTGGTAAAACTAAAACATGTTCTGTGGTAATTGACATGAGAGTAACATTCAATCTAGCTGAATGACATTTCACAGCACTGCGAACCCCACACACTGGTTTGCTTGGATCATTTCTGCATAAAGTTCATTAGGCTGAAGCATCAAAGAACTTATCCATCATATTGGTTACTTCATCTATTGTGTACTTTATGTACTTATCAGGATTCTTCGTGAACTGCACAGATGCATATCTGAAAATAAAATTTAGATGATGTCAATATGAACACATGTAGAATGCATATTATTACATATGTACTGCACTTTACATGTACTTTGTTGCACCCGTGAAAATATACTCAGGATTTCCACTATCATTATGCAAATGAGTAAAAACAAACAGTTTTGTTTTTTTATTTGGTGTTTGTATGTATAAATAGGGTCACCATGCCTCGCACAATGGTGGTGAATTACAGTGTACTGTGAGTGAGCAGATGTCTGAACATATTTGCATAGGAATAGAATGACAAGTTAACCAATCACTCTACAGAATTAACAACTTTTCTGGCAGTTTTCATAAAGTCTGACAACATAATGTAATAATACCAGAACCCTGTGGCTTCACTCTGATGTTTATATGAGGTATGGAAGTTATTTTCACTTGTGATGTATCCATGCTGCATTTTCACTTGTTTTACTTTGCTTGTGAAAATACAGCCACAGGATACACAGCTAGCATCACTTGCGAATATAAGTTCCATAACTCACAACTATCAGGCCAAGGACATGGGGTTCTGTCATATAATCTCTGGTCAGTGTATATAAGAGATAAAGTACCTACAACTACTTCTTCTGTAGGTAGATTTTGATCAATGGCTGTATTCAATGGCAAGCTGCTGTGTTTTTTGTGAAGAAAAATGTGGCAAGGTTCTGGGCATGAGTACACCATGTGGTAATACACTACAAGTATAGTGTGCATTGGTAGTCCCAGTCAGAATCAGTTTCATGCTGAATATGAATGGGTCAATAGTCCCAGTCAGGATCAGTTCCATATTGAATATGAATGGGTCAATAGTCCCAGTCAGAATCAGTTTCATGCTGAATATGAATGGTCAATAGTCCCAGTCAGGATCAGTTCCATATTGAATATGAATGGGTCAATAGTCCCAGTCAGAATCAGTTTCATGCTGAATATGAATGGGTCAATAGTCCCAGTCAGGATCAGTTCCATATTGAATATGAATGGGTCAATAGTCCCAGTCAGAATCAGTTACATACTGAATATGAATGGGTCAATAGTCCCAGTCAGAATCAGTTCCATATTGAATATGAATGGGTCAATAGTCCCAGTCAGGATCAGTTCCATATTGAATATGAATGGGTCAATAGTCCTAGTCAGAATCAGTTACATATTGAATATGAATGGGTCAATAGTCCCAGTCAGAATCAGTTACATACTGAATATGAATGGATGAATAGTCCCAGTCAGGAGTAGTTACATACTGAATACAAATGGGTCAATAGTCCCAGTCAGGTCAGTTACGTACTGAATATGAATGGGTCAATAGTCCCAGTCAGGATCAGTTATATAATGAATATGAATGGGTAAAAAGTCCGTCAGAATAAGTTACATATTGAATATGAATGGGTAAATAGTCCCAGTCAGGTCAGTTACATACTGAATATGAATGGGTCAATAGTCCCAGTCAGGATCAGTTATATAATGAATATGAATGGGTAAATAGTCCGTCAGAATAAGTTACATATTGAATATGAATGGGTCAATAGTCCCAGTCAGAGTTAGAATCAGTTACACACTGAATATGAATGGGTCAATAGTCCCAGTCAAGATCAGTTATATAATGAATATGAATGGGTAAATAATCGTCAGAATAAGTTACATATTGAATATGAATAGGACAATAGTCCCAGTCAGAATCAGTTACATACTGAATATGAATGGGTCAATAATCCCAGTCAGGATCAGTTCCATATTGAATGGGTCAATAGTCCCAGTCAGGATCAGTTCCATATTGAATATGAATGGGTCAATAATCCCAGTCAGGATCAGTTCCATATTGAATGGGTCAATAGTCTCAGTCAGGATCAGTTCCATATTGAATATGAATGGGTCAATAGTCCCAGTCAGGATCAGTTCCATATTGAATATGAATGGGTCAATAGTCCCAGTCAGGATCAGTTCCATATTGAATATGAATGGGTCAATAATTCCAGTCAGGATCAGTTCCATATTGAATGGGTCAATAGTCCCAGTCAGGATCAGTTCCATATTGAATATGAATGGGTCAATAGTCCCAGTCAGGATCAGTCCCATATTGAATATGAGTGGGTCATTAGTCCCAGTCAGGATCAGTTCCATATTGAATATGAATGGGGTCAATAGTCCCAGTCAGGATCAGTCCCATATTGAATATGAGTGGGTCATTAGTCCCAGTCAGGATCAGTTCCATATTGAATATGAATGGGTCAATAGTCCCAGTCAGGATCAGTTCCATACTGAATATGAATTGGTCAATAGTCCCAGTCAGAGTCAGAATCAGTTACATACTGAATATGAATTGGTCAATAGTCCTGGTCAGAGTCAGTCCCATATTGAATATGAATGGGTCAATAGTCCCAGTCAGGATCAGTTCCATATTGAATGTGAATGGGTCAATAGTCCTTGTCAGCATCAGTTACATACTGAATATGAATGGGTCAATAGTCCCAGTCAGGATCTGTTATATAATGAATATGAATGGGTAAATAGTCCTTCAGAATAAGTTACATATTGAATATGAATAGGTCAATAGTCCCAGTCAGGAGCAGTTACATACTGAATATGAATGGATCAATACACAAAGTCAGTTCCATATTGAATTTGAACGGCTCAATAGTCCCAGTCAGGATCAGTTACATACTGAATATGAATGGGTCAATAGTCCCAGTGAGAATCAGTTACATACTGAATATGAATGGATCAATAGTCCCAGTCAGAATCAGTTACATACTGAATATGAATGGGTCAATAGTCCCAGTCAGAATCAGTTACATACTGAATATGAATGGGTCAATAGTCCCAGTCAGAATCAGTTACATACTGAATATGAGTGGGTCAATAGTCCCAGTCAGAATCAGTTACATACTGAATATAAATAAGTCAATAGTCCCAGTCAGAATCAGTTACATACTGAATATGAATGGGTCAATAGTCCCAGTCAGAATCAGTTACATACTGAATATGAATGGGTCAATAGTCCCAGTCAGAATCAGTTACATACTGAATATGAATGGGTCAATAGTCCCAGTCAGAATCAGTTACATACTGAATATGAATGGGTCAATAGTCCCAGTCAGAATCAGTTACATACTGAATATGAATGGGTCAATAGTCCCAGTCAGAATCAGTTACAAGGTAATATAGTGTGAAATACTTACTTCTCTCTGAACAGTTTATAGGGAGGTAAAATGTAATTCTTGTTGTCTTCAATAAGACTCTTTCTAAGGTCCATATCAGGAATTGCATAAAGCTTTTGTATTTGGTAGATTTCCTCAAATGCATTGTTAAAACCCTGTGAGAAATATAAAACCATGAAAACATGATCAACTAAGTTATACCCAGATCTGCATGGAGATGAGCAAACTATCACAAATCTGCAAGTCAGTTTATAGGGACAGGTCTGGTATACAACACATATTGATAGTGAAGTTCCTGTTGAATGTTATGGTAAAATATTAAATGTCATTTTTTTATGTTTTGTGTTAAAATCAATTACAAAAACAAAGACAAAGATAGAATGACAATGCTCATTAACAAGAACCCAATATTTTGTTTTTTATACATTTTGAAGTACATTAGATTAATTTGTCAATTTGGTCACAGACACTACAACATATACACTTGCATCAAAGTATTGGAAATTTTCTGATACTTTGTGAAAAGATTGGCTATTGGTTATTCAGGGCTAAAGAGTATAATTATTTTTCTTCATTCTTTGAATTTCACAAACCCTTTTCAGCTAAACAACTTTGGATAATTGTAAAAGACAAAATGTTGAAAGTCATGAGATGGCCATCAAATCAAACAGACTGTATTTAATGTAGAAACCTACTGATAATTCATGAAAAAGTTCATCAATGTTCATTGGTTTATTATGTAAAATCATGAACATATCCCATGGCACCATGACATTTCTTTGTGATTTATAGTGACATACATGTATTTAGAGAAACTTGTCCTCATTTTATTTGGATAATTTTACAGAGCACAATAAAACAAGCAGCCTGTCGGCTGAGATAGCTCCGCTGTTAGCAATGCACATGGCAATTAAAGAACAGAAGATATCATTAGAAAATGAACAAATCTGAGAGAGGTCCACATGTAGTACCTATATGTATAATATATCAAAGCAATTGGACTTGCGGTTTTCAACAAGAAGTCGAAAATATTACTTTTTACCAAAAATTACAAAAATATTCATCAAAATTAGAGAATTAAAGATATCATTATGAAATGAACAAATCTGAGAGAGGTCCACATGTAGTACCTATATATGTAATATCAAAGCAATTGGACTTGCGGTTTTCAACAAGAAGTCGAAAATATCACTTTTTACCAAAAATTACAAAAATATT